CACTAGAGGGCGACGATGATTTAGATGAGGTAGAAATAAATTGAAAGACTGTACGTTCACGATATTTGAACCATTAGTAAACATATATTTATTACGTAAAATATATTTAAATATTTATACTATAAGATAAACTGTATAATTGTAAGCCTATAACTATTCCTCAACGTATATGTAGGCTACCTATTAGAATTAATATTTTGCAAAGCATTTTTGTTCCATTAGCTGTAATAAAACATTTTCACTAAATTATACATTTGTTGGCATTGAACTCCACCAATAGTATTTTATATGCCAACAACTAATCTAAATAATCTGTATGGTTCACAACCAGTCTTTATATATATCGACTGAGAGTGAAAATAATATAGGCCTACACAAAAAGATATCCATTGGTTTATAGCACATAGAGAACTTCCATTCTCTATAACCTCAGAAGCAATGTTATACAGAATATGACATTTAGGTCAGCAATGAGGGTCACAAACATGAGGAAAGGTCCTGATGTGCATTCTAAAAACAGCCAAACGATTGAGCTATTCCAATGACCACACAAGCTAGTCCATAGAATCTCTGACTTGTTCCACTGTGGGCAAGGGCAAATAAGCTGCAGTGTTCCCTGATGTGGATCATCTGGCAGTTCTTGCAACAGTTCACAGTAGGTGTCATCATTGACAGTCATCTACTCTTTGTGCTGCTTCCAATGAGCTTTCAAGGCCCTGTCATTACCACATGTGTGGAGCTCAGCTGATAAGAGGGGGGTTGGGGGAAATTTGAAGGACATTCTACAGCATGCAGCAGCAGCAGTACACAAACTTGCAGAGCTTGAGGTTATAAATATAAAAATAGATCAATGATGGACCTGATTTATATGGATTTTAATAACAAAGCACCACTCAAGGGAATGTATGATGGTTAAAAAGAGGAAAGCCTGTACATGCTCAGGTGCACATATTTTTGAATACCATATTTACATATCTCATAATTTTTGGAGGTGTATTGATGACATTAATTTTGATTATTTCTTACTGTTAAATGACAGTAAAAATAGCCAGAATTTTACCTGTTCAAAAATGTAGGCAAATTTATTCAAACTTTATTTACCGATGCAATATTATATCTATCTCTGATGGCTGAGACCATCACATCCTCCAAGAGGCAGCTGAAGACACTTCCGCAAGCACTTAACCGCCAAACAATCTAGTTAACTAATAAATCTGGAATTGTGTAGGCCTACTACAACAATTGTTGGCTTTGTGATGAACTGCTTCCTCTTTTGTAGGTCGCTTTGGTTGAAAACAATGCATAAATGTAAATGTAAATATAAGTGACTGTAAGAAAGATATTTTAATTACAAATTAACAAAATTCAATTCAGCGAACACATTAAAAAGCAGTTTTACACTTATTCTACAAAAGGCCTACTTTTTTCTGATAGAGGATGTGCCATGCTGCATAAAGACTCACACTAGATTCTACAAAAACAAAGCACACCTTACGTAAAATAACTACAAGTGATATGCAATTTTATATTACAACCATAGATGGCGACAGAGAGGCAACGTTTTTCGTTCAACTTTTAGTTGGCCATAGTTCCCTTTCGATACTTCACTCGTACTGCGTCTTGCTGAAGACGCGCATATGGGAAAAATTTTTCTCCTGAACTGAAGCCTATTTCATTCACGCAGTGAAACTGCACGGCCATTGGTTCGTGCAGGGCTTTAAAAAACTAACCAATGGCGCGGCAGCTGAGCTGCACGAGCCTATGGCGACGAAGCCCGCCAGAATGGGCGGGGCATCTGGCTATATAAGCGGGCGCTCGCCACAGGATTCTCAGATTATTTTTCCTTCAGCGACGACTCTACGCTCATCGCTGATCCTGAAGGCCTGCTCGCCGTTGACACACCTTCGCAGCTGGAATCGGGACCTCTCAGCACAGCTGACCTGCTTCTCCGCCGCTACAACCTCCCGTTTTCTCCTCTCTCAGTGAACCTCGGAGAGAGAAACAGCGGAGTCAGGGAGCTAAGCAACCGGGTCTGAGCGATCGCATGCCGGC